CTTCTACAGCAGCCTGAACTAAGACACTGAGCTACCTAGGGCTTTCTAGAAAAATTCCTTTTGCTTTAGTTAAAACCAGAGATGGTTTCTGTTCTTTGCCTCCACAGAACTCTGATGCCAGGTTTTCACATTATTGTTAGATACCCTAAAGAACATGATTTATTTATTTAAAAAATTTTTAAATATTTATTTATTTTTGAGAGAAAGAGACAAAGTACAAGTGGGGGAGAGGCAGAGACAGAGGGAGACACAGGATCCGAAACAAGCTCCAGGCTCTGAGCTGTCAGCACAGACCCAAGAACCGTGAGATCGTGACCCGAGCTGAAGTAGGATGCTTAAACGACTGAGCCACCCAGGCACCCCAAGAACATGATTTATTAAATGGCCAAATGCATCATATTGACTTATTTGACTGATTTCCTGTCGTTTTGTGCTTTCCTGCCAATAGCATTCCTACTTTCCATCGATGCTCCCTTCTTTTCACTTCTGGTACATTCCCCGAGCAACACGTTGAGAGAAGGATGGAGGAAGGAGGCTGGAGACTGGGAGAAGTCTGGTTTGCGGGAAGCTGGCATGTTTCTGACACACGAGCTAAATCTTTTCATCAGCCTCCTTCACTTCACCGTCTACTCATTCTTCCCTGACTTCATAAATCTTCTGTGATGTGGGAAGAACCTTGTGTAGGGCAGGGAGGCCTAACAGGTTTTGTCTTCGCTCCCAACTTGTGTTAATTGGCCCGAGTCACTTGAGTGTTGTGCTGCCTGCGGACTTAGTGGGACCAGTGTGTCATAGTAATTATCCATGCCCGACACGGTCCCGCAGGGAGGCGGTAGGTGCCGCGTATCTGTCATTCCTGCTCTGATGCGACCTCCCACCCGACATGCATGGCCTCTAGTCTATCATACTGCTGTGCGGTGGGTTCTGCATCGGCACCATCGCTGAAACAGTCCACTTCATATTGGGCTCTCCATTTGGCGGGGAGCTTCTCCCTGGCCGTGTGGTGCAGAGGAGGGGACGGGCTGATTAGATAACCTCAAGCTAATTCTGACTCTGTCACTGACCAATTATGTCATTCCAGGGAGTAGCCATCTCTTTGGGCCTCAGCTTTCCACCTGAGAAATGAAGAACCTGAACTGAGAAACCACAAAGTTTCCTTCCAGCTTCGAGATCCTATTACTCGTGTGAGTCACCATCTGCCTCTCAGGGACGTGGTCCAGGGGCCTGAGCTGCACAACCTGCCTACGGGAGAGCCCTTCGAGCACTTGAGGACACTCTGAGTCTTCTACTCTGCGCTCAGTATGACCAGTTTGCTTCATCATTTTTCGTATGATAAAGTTTCTACAATTCCTGCGATTTGGGTCATTCTCTTCTTGACACTTGAGTTTTCCGATGGCTCCCCGGAAGTGCAGCTCCCAGGACTGGCTAGTTGTGCAGAGGGAGTATCTCCATTCCTTACCCATGTGCTCAGGCTGCGCCCCCACCAGACGGGACCTCCAGCGCACAGCCCGAGGGGAGGCGCTCACTGAAACGTTCCTGGATCTGGGGATGGTTGAGATGGTTGCTCTGTGTCACCTTTTTTGTTTTTATTTATTTATTTTTTTTACTGTTTACTTATTTTTGAGAGAGAGAGAGAGGGAGAGAGAGAGAGAGCACAAGCAGGGGAGGGGCAGAGAGAGAAGGAGACACAGAATCCAAAGCAGGCTCCACACTCCGAGCTGTCAGCACAGAGCCTGATGCAGGGTTCCAACTCATGAACCGTGAGATCGTGACCTGAGCGGAAGTTGGGAGCTTAACTGACTGAGCCACTCGGGCACCCCCATCCACGCCGTGCAGCTCTGGAGGCCCTCCTTCACGCTGCATGCAGATAAGTTGCAGGGGGCCATGGAGTCAAATCTGGAAGGAGATGGTGCTTGCCCAGAAGACCAGTAACTGACCAAGTCTTAATGGAACAGGTGCTACTGCTCTTTCTTAACAAACATGGAAGGAAGCTTTACCAGAGATGCGGTTTGTAATTATTTTAATTAAGTTTATTTATTTTGAGAGACAGCAAATGGTAGAGGGGCAAAGAGACAGGGAGAGAGAGAATCCCAAGTAGGCTCTGAGCTGTCAGTGCAGCGCCAGTCGCGGGGCTCAAACTCACCAACCGTGAGATCATGACCTGAGCCAAATTCAAGAGTCAGACACTTAACTGACTGAGCCACAGGCAGCCTGCAAAAAATTTTAAAATGAGGAATTGGGTGTTCCTCTTCCCATTGATGCAAAAAACCATGTCTCTGTCACACTTCTCTTTTGCCACGCACCCCTCTCCATTCTGTCTGGCGTCATGTCACGGGACCCCTATTCCCTGGCTGTTCTTGCTGCTGTGCTTTGCATAGAAGGACAGTACAAAGGCTTTGCTCAAGGAAAATGGAATGAAAACAAAGACAAGCAAAAACAGAGCCTACCTGAAATTATGGTGTAATGGTTGTTGTGGGAGGAATCTGACACCCAGACAGGTGGGGGCGCTCTTGGCTACCTTAACCCGGGATGTGTGTTCCGAAGATCACAGGGTCCCACATGCTGGGGCCCCAGGCCATGACTCCAACCCTCCCCTTCCCCACTCCCCCAGTACCGCCTCCATTTCCACCCAGCCACCTGGCCTCCACTCTCTTCTTCGAAAACACTAACCATGCCTCCACTTCAGAGCCTTTCTTTGTACCTTCTGTCTCTGGGTTATTCTTTGCCCACAGACCCCACTTGCCCTCCACTAGCCCATCTGAGATGGGTCCTTCCTCCCAGCACCCTGTTCTCTAGCCTTTTACTCTGCTTTATCTTCTTTTATTAAAAGTTTATTTATTTTGAGAGAGAGAAAGAGAGAGAGTGTGTGGCAGAGAGAGAGAGAGAGAGAGAGAGAAAGAGAGAGAGAGAGAATGAATCCCAAGTAGGCTCTTTGCTGCCAGAGCAGAGTCCAACTCAGAGCTCAAACCCACTAACAGCAAGATCATGACTTGAACCACGAAATCAAGTGTCAGATACCTAACCTACTGAGCCACCAGGAGCCCCACTGTTTTATCTTCTTACTAGACCCCACCGACCTAGGACACACACCTCCTTGCTTATTTTTATTTCTAGACTATAAACTCCATGAAGGAAGGGCTTTGTTCGCTTCTGATTCTCCAGTCCCTCAGACCATACCCAGCACTTGCTGAACCTTCAGTCGATGTCTGTCCTGTGTGACAGCCCCGGTGCTAGTTAGCACATTGTTGTCTCGGAAGTACTTTGAGTTTTTTGGAGGAGGGCTAATTGATCCACTGGTTGACAAGTGTGTCACAGGGAACAGGAACATCAATTTATTTGAGCAGCATGAATCTAGTTAAAAAGGCCCTGGTGCACCGCATCACGGAGCCACCATTAAATGAGGTCACTAAGAGTTAACTCATGAAGAGAGACATGTGGGTCCCTCCCCCATCCAGAATTGTTCCGATCTGAGGTGGGGCCCTGGGGATGAAGGGAAGAAAGGTGGGGGGTACAGGGTGTGCGCGCATGTGTGTGTGTGTGTATGTTTGTGTGTGTGTTTTCCCCACACAACTCCCATGGCTTCTTGCTAGATCCTGGGGTTTCTCTTTCACATCATTTTTAAGGACAGAGGCCACTTTTGCAAGAGAAACCAGTGACCACGGTGAATGCCTCTAGGTGGCAGGTGGGAGCGACACAAGCTTCAAGGTTGGGGGGCCATGGGCATCATATAGGTGGATGGGGAAGGGAGGCGAGGGGAGACAAGCTGGGGCAGGAAAGGACCAGGTGAAGCCCAGTGACCAGCTGGGACCACTGAGCAGACCCAGCAGGCAGGGAAATTCCAGAACAAGTTGAATGGAGGAGTGGGGATGGACTCTAGAGAGTTGTGCTGACCATTCGTTGAAGGTAAAGCAACTGTCCTGAAACTGGGGGAAAGACAGGAGATCCTTGCCCAGGACTGACCTAGTGAGTGATCGAAGTTTCCCTGGGAAAATACTTCAAAACTTGCCCGTTTCCTCAAGGCCTCCTTCCTCTCTATTATCCCTACAGAGCATCTCCCCTCCACAAGACACTGGACATTCCCCAGGATCCACAGGGACATTGATCGTCCAGGGCACTCACCAACCTCCCATCGTTGTTGATGAACTATTGATGTGGACTGAATAGATCTCATCAAAATCCATTTGTTGAAGTCCTAACTCCCAACATCTCACAATATGACTGTATTTGCAAATAGGGCTTCAAAGAGATAATTAAAATTAAATGAGGTCATTGGGATGGGCCCTAATCCATTAAGACCGGTGTCCTTATCAAAAAAGGAGAGCCACCAGGAATGCATGCACACGTCGAGAAAAGGCCACAGAAGGACACAGATCGAAGGAAGACATCTGCAGGCCAAGAAGAGAGGCCTCAGAAGAAACCAAAGCTGCTACACCTTGATCTTGTGCTTTTAGCCTCCAAGACTCTGACAAAGCGAATTTCCATTCTTTAAGCCCCAAATTCTGTGGTACCTTGTTACGGGGGCTCTAGTGGACCGATGCAAGTATTAACTAATTGGCACCAAAGAGTTGCATCCAATCAGGGTCCCAGACTCTAAAAGGTATTAGACATTTGAACTAACAGAAAAACTCTGATCACCCATTTCCAGCTCTGGCCCCAGCCCCGCCCCTGTAGTTTGAGACCCTGATGTTCCCTGATGACCAAGGCCTTATCATAAGATCTAGAAATAGACAAGGGTGAAGGAGGGGATGCTCTGTGATCTTGCCCTGAGCAGAGCCAGGATGTGCAAGGAGCAGGGCAGGGGGAGGGGATGTGGAAGGTTGTGCCAGTGTTTTCTGTGTGGTGGTTCCCAGTGCCAGAGCTTCCCGGGCTGCTCCTGGAGCGGGGACAGGAGCGCCACCAGAGGAAGGAGGACCAGGGTCGTGTCAGACACCAGCAATGTCCAAGAGCATCATGTGCTTCCTGATGGTCCAGGCAACAGTTTGTATCTTCCTCCATTGCAGGACCTATACAAGCGGGTTCTCTGTCTCTGGAGCCCCTCTGTTGGCACAGATGTCCTGCTTTTTTCCTGGCAAAGAGATCAGAAAGTTTACCCTCTGACGTTGGACTCTTAGTTTGGAATCTTGGCTTGGCCCGAAGCCACTCCAGACAGCCTGGGGGTAGACATCCCCACGGAGCCCAGGTTAATGGGGGTGTTTGTGTCAGGGGCAGGACATCCTGGTGTTGAGGCAGAGGCTGAGCTGGAGGGATGGCTCAGACCCCAGCCCCACCTCTGAGTTTCTCCCTTTCTCTTCTCCTGGAGGAGGACTTATGATCTCCTAGCCAGAGAGGTACTTTTCTCAGGGAGCATTTCCTAGGAATGGTGGGCAAGACGGGGTTGGCGTTCACTTAGACTTGCACTCAACAAAACTTTATCCACGCGAGCGCTGTTCCAGGAACCATTGCTAGATGCCGGTTGGTAAGTGAGCCTTGGCCTTTAAGGGGCTGAGAACTCAGTGGCAGAGTAAGTGCAGTGAGCGCTGGGTGAGCAGTGCAGATTAAAGGAAGAACACCAACCATGTCCGGGCTGGGGGAGCAAGTCAGGAAGGCTTCCTGGAGCAGGTGCACCTTGGAGATTTTGGAGGAGATAGTCACATGAAGAAGGGGGATTGGGTGGGAAACCATGGAAAGTGTTTCCAGACAGAGGGGATGGCTGGTACAAAGGCTTGAAGAGGTGTGAGAGGTGTGCAGGGGAAGAGTTCTTTTGAAGAATTGCAAAAGAAACTTCACACTGATCAATGAGATCAGAGACCAGGGTATACGATGAGAGTCAGGACCTGATGTGACAAAGGTAAGGAAGACAGACCATCTGAAGCCTGGTCTCCTGGAGGAGGTCCAGCCTTACCCTCCTTCCCAGTAGATCCTCCTCTTCCAAACCCATCTGGCACCTGAAGGACTCCTACCTGAGTAGCAGGGGTGCCAGGCAGAGAGGAGACCAGCCAGGGTCAGGAGCAGGGACACGGGCACCACCACCAGCAGCATATCTTTGTAGGAGGACTTTCCTGGGACCGGACATGGGGGGGGGGCAGCGTCAGAGGGGGGCTTGATGCTTCACAACCCCTGAACCACTGACCCCTGGCCCTTGGCATACCTGCCTCATGATGGCAGCTCTCCCAAGGGGTGACGGTGGCCAAGTCCCAGCTGACAGGGTTGGAGACGATGCAGGAATAGGCCACGCTCTTGTCTCCTGGCCCCAGTGAAACCTTCAGCACCCGTCCATCCGTGAAGAGGCCACTTGGCTCAATACCAAAGTCAGTGGCCCCCTCCCGTCGCCAGCTATAGGTTATGTCACTGACATTGGGGGCCCAGCAGGACAGGAACACCTGACAGGTCTTGGGGGGCTGAGCACCCCCTGATACAGCGATGAACACTTGTACCACGGGTCTGCGCACTGCATCTAGGCAAGAACAGTAGAGCGGGCATGGGTTACAGTGATGCTGGGCGGGGCATGCCAGGAAGGGCACACAGTGCCTGCTCTGGGATCCGTGCAGGGCTAGAGGTCACCTCTGACCAGGCCACTCTTGTCCGCAGGACAGAAGCTGACTTCCTTAGTCTGGTGTTCAAGACCCTTCCTGAAATAGTCAATGCCAGCCTCTCTGGTCGGAGCCTCCTGCCAGTCTTACTCACTGACCCTAATGAATTTCCAGTCCTCCCCAGCACGGCATACTCTTCCACACCGCTCCTGCTCACCCATGGCTCTCCTGTGCTCCCGTGCCTTTCTCCTCTCTTCCTCCTAGAAAACTCCTACCAATCCTTCAAAACCCAGCTTGGACACATTGCTTCCTGCTCTGATTAGGAGGCCTTCCCTCATAGTCCAGGCTCTGACCCCTCCAAGAAGTCCATGTCCCTTGTCATAGCGCTTTCTTCATGATATATCAACCAGAGAGATGATAGGCATGTATTAAGTCAGGCAAGAAAACAAACACAATCCTGGACTATTAGAGCTTATATTTTGGTGAAGAAGACAGGTACTGACAAGTGATTGAGTAATTAAGAAAATAATTACAAGGGTGCAGGGAGCGGGGGGTGGGGAGTACTGTTTTGTTGTCTTCATAACCCTAGCTGTCTAGGTGTGTAGCCGCCTGGACCATTGAACAAACTGGGGTCTTGGCATCCTAGGCGGTGGCTCCCTTTTCCTGTATAGCTTGATGAGTAAATCCTGGGTCTCTGTGGCAATGGGGGCCAGCGGGAGAGCATTCTAGTGACAACAGGAGCACTCAGTCTCTGACAGCATTCCAAAGTCAAGCAGAGTAAAACCTCATTAATGCCAGCTCAATCTGGTGGGATTTGTGAGATGGAAAAAGAAAGATTTGCTGGGCACACTAATAGTATAAACAAAGATTACCGTGTGTGTGTGTGTGTGTGTGTGTGTGTGTGTGTTGCGGGGGGGGGGTGGTGGGTATTTACATCACTTAAGAGGACAAGCTGCTTCCAAACACTATCAGGCACAGTAGAAACACCCATTGACATTTCTAGTAACTGATCTGCTAATTCAAATCATTCTTATCTATTGTCAAAGCACAGCTCCCAAGGACGGCGGCTTGGCAGTTTTGTGCAATTAGTTCTAATCACGCTATGTATTTGGAAGCAATAAAACAGCAATTTCCTTAAAATCTGTAATTCAGATGCTGAGAACAAGGCATTTAGAGCTTAGTGGTGTGGGTGCTGCATGTATTATCGCATTCAATGTCCTCATTTCACATGTGCAGCAGCTGAGACTCAGAATAGGAAGAGGCTCCGGGGCTGCCTGGATGGTTGTAGAGGTTATTCACTGCACAAGGGAATTGGGCTAAGGGGATAGCAGGTGGGGGTGGGGTTGCTGAAATCCATCCAGCGCTCTGCTTGCCAAGGTGGGCAACTTGGTTCAGGGCTGTGCGCATCCCGGACACACACCTAACTGCACACTGGCACCTCCGACAGCTCACCCAAGGACAGCCAGCTAGCTGTCTCTGGGTTGGTTTGTGTGTGGGGTCTCTCTCCTTCTCAGTTTACTGCTGCCTTTCTCTCCCTCACTGTCTTCTTCTTCCCAGCTGCCACTCATGCTTTTCAGTCTTAAATTTGGACCTTTTTCTCCCTACTACTCTACCAAATTGCTGACATGTTACTGAAATAGTGGTTTGGGGTAACTCATATGCCTTTTCCAAGCCTTAGGTAGATAAATGAGAGCTAAAAGGCCATTTTTTTCTTGATCAGCAGAAATATGGTGGAGGTGGGGGCAGTGGATGCAGAAGTAGAGGTGCTGATGGCAATAGAGGCAATGATAGAGGCGGTGATGGTAGAGGTGGTGATTGTAGTAGAGATAATGGGGGGGAGTTCTGTTGAAAGTGGAGAAAGTGAAGGTGGCAGAGGTAATGGTGGAGGAGGTGATATGGTGGAGGTGATTGTGGAGGAGGTGATTGAGGAAGAGGCAGAGGTGGTGGAAGTGGAGAAGGTGGAGGCAGTAGAGGTGATGGTGGTGGTGGAGGTGATGGTGGAGGAGGTGATGGTGGTGGAGGAGGTGATGGTGGAGAAGGTGGAAGTGGAGTTGTAGGAGGTGTAGATGTAGGAGGTGGTAGTGGTGGAGGTAGTCGAGGTGATGGTAGAGGAGATGGTGGTGGAGGAGGTGATGGTGGAGAAGGTGGAGGTGGTGGAGGTAGTGGAGGTGATGGTGGAGATGGTACAGGTGATGGTGGAGGTGGGGATCTTGGAGGAGGTAGAGGAGGTGGTGGTGGACATGATAGTGGTGGACATGATTGGAGGAGGTGGAAATGATGGTGGAGGCAATGTTGGACGTGGTGGAGGTGGTGGAGGTGATGGTGGAGATGGTACAGGTGATGGTGGTGGAGGAGGTGATGGTGGAGAAGGTAGAGGTGGTGGAGGTAATGGTGGAGATGGTACAGGTGATGGTGGAGGTGGTGGAGGTGATGGTGGAGATGGTACAGGTGATGGTGGTGGAGGAGGTGATGGTGGAGAAGGTAGAGGTGGTGGAGGTAATGGTGGAGATGGTGGAGGTGATGGTGGAGGTGGTGGAGGTGATGGTGGAGACGGTACAGGTGATGGTGGTGGAGGAGGTGACGGTGGAGAAGGTGGAGGTGGTGGAGGTGGTGGTGGAGATGGTACAGGTGATGGTGGTGGAGGAGGTGATGGTGGAGAAGGTAGAGGTGGTGGAGGTAATGGTGGAGATGGTACAGGTGATGGTGGAGGTGGTGGAGGTGATGGTGGAGATGGTACAGGTGATGGTGGTGGAGGAGGTGATGGTGGAGGTGGTGGAGGTGATGGTGGAGACGGTACAGGTGATGGTGGTGGAGGAGGTGATGGTGGAGAAGGTGGAGGTGGTGGAGGTAGTGGAGGTGATGGTGGAGATGGTACAGGTGATGGTGGAGGTGGGGATCTTGGAGGAGGTAGAGGAGGTGGTGGTGGACATGATAGTGGTGGACATGATTGGAGGAGGTGGAAATGATGGTGGAGGCAATGTTGGACGTGGTGGAGGTGATGGTGGAGGAGGTAGAGGGAATAGAGATGAAGTTGCTGAAAGAAGCGTCCATCTAGTCCCCAGTGAAGTCAGTCGCCCCAGCTGAGGTGCCGAATGCAGGTGCATGAATGACCTTGGCAAACCTTGGGGAGCAGGAGGCCCACCCAGTTGAGTGCTCCCACTCGCAGAACATAAGAAATTAAAACTGTTGTTTTCAGCCAGTAGGTTTGGGGATGGTTTGCTTTGCAACAACAAATAACTGAGAAGACCTGTGAATGTTATACATAAAAATCTCTAAATACATCTAAAAGAACTCTCTAAAGCAATATAAAATAAAAATTCCATACTTTAATTATAATAAAAAACATCGCATCATGGTTTGATTGGCAATGCCGTTTTTCCTTGTCAGCAGTTTGTCAAATAATGACACATTCTGATCTTAGAATTTTGAAGTGCTGGCCGACCGCCGTATCAGACGCTTTCCCAAACACCGTGTGTTTCGTCTTTGCGGGCAACTCGTGTAATATCACTTCCGATGCCCATTTTGTAAGTGAGAAAGGTGAACACTAGGGAGGCTCAGTTAGCATCGTGCCCAAGGCCACTGAGCCAAGAAAAGGCCATGCTAGAGTTCAGGCAAGGACTGTGGGGTGGCAAAGCCAGGCTGCCCCAGACGGGAGCTCACCTGAGGGACTTTCTGAGCTGTGCCGTGGGGACCACTGTGCCCTGAGTCGGCCGTGAGGTCAGAGGCCAGAGATCTCTGGAACCCTGTTCTCCCCCGCTCCCAGGACCCGGGATGCCTTTCCGGGGTCAGGCACACTCACCGTACACCTTGAGCTGCAGCATCTGGGTCCAGGTCCGGCCTCCCGTGTCCACCAACAGCACGGAGAAGTTGCCGCTGTCTCCCGGCTCCAGGGACTGGAGCTCCAGGCTGAGGTTGCTGTGAAGCTGGGCTCGGCCCAGGAAGCGCGAGTGGTACAGCGTCTCCTGGGAGCCCCGGAAGAATGTGGCCACGAGCTCCTCCGAAGGCCAGAGAGATCTCCAGATGGCCTCTCGGACTTGGAAGCCGGGGGGGCGCTTGGCCAGCAGCAGCACCGAGCCCCCCACCTGGCCGTGCACTTGGGCCCCACGGACTACGGCGGGAAGGACAGCTGAAAGAACAGAGCGCTGTCCGTGGGCCCGCCCCAGGCTCCTCACCCCTGCTCCCCCTCTGCTCCTCATGCACCCTGCTAAGCTGCTGTGAAGCACATTAGGGCCACGCTCCCTCCACCCACGCTGAGCAGGTGCGCCGAGCCAGGGACTGGGAATAAAACCAGAAGGGAGAGAAGCCCTTACGCTCACAGAGGAAGTCAGACTCTAAGCAAATGCTTAGAATATATTAAGCCCCATGCTGGGGAGAAAGGAGCGCTCCGGAAGAACCGAGGTAGGATGATGGTCTTGAGGGGCTCAGAGAAGAAATGCTTAAGCTGAGGCCAGAAGGCAGAATGGGGGTGAGCCAGGCCTGGTGGAAGACTGTCGGGAGCCCGGGGTGGGGAAGTGTCTCTCAGGTGGAGGGCAGGATGGCGGAGGGCACAAAGGCCCGCGAGCAGGCGAGCAGGAGGGCCGGAGGGCAGGGTGCAAGAGAACTGAAACTAGTTCTCTGCAGGGGAGTCAGCAACCTACTGCAGAGCCGGCAGGAGCTGTGGCAGCCTGAAAGCAGCGTCTGGGTTTTATCTTTAGAGCCGTGGGTGGCCTTGCGCAGGGTTGAAGGAAGAGAGTAACAGGATGAGATGCTGGTTAGAAAGACCATGCCAGCGGGAGCGCAGGGAATGTGCCGGAAGCTTCAGGGCAGGCGCTGCAGAGAGTGAACTCCTGCTGCGGAGGGGAGGGTGAGGGGGGTGCGGGGGGGACAAATGGGAGGGGCGGAGAGGGATTCAGGTGTGCAGTCAGTGAGGATGGATCCTAGTCGTGGTCGAGGAGGGAAGGAGAAGGAGTTACGGAGGCCAGGGACCCACTGGGCGCGGAGCTGGTGGACGGAGGAGCAGGCTGGGCAGGGCTGAGATGCTGGGGTTAGGTGACACCTCTGGGGGGAGTGCCCCTGACCCCTCCGCCAGCCGCTCACTGCTCATCCAGACCCTCTGCCTCCCCTCATCTCTCCTCTGGTCAAGGCAATATCCGCCCTGTTTCTCTGTGCGCCGGCACCCTGGGGCACCTGCCTTGCTCCTCTGCTGTGACTGCCCGTGGGTGACTCAGGGGCTGCCACAAGACAGCGAGTTCCTCGGGTCCTCCCCGTAGCCCTGCCCACCTGTGTTCAGGCGCACATGGGAGAAGCTCAGCTCACGGTACTGGGGGGATGACAATTCACTGAGGACGCACCTGGCGCCCGGTGCAGGGGCCCCAGGGTGCAGAGCGCAGCGCGGCACGGACAGAACCTTCCCCGGGCACCCGGCTTCTGCTTGCGGGGTTGTGTTCCCTGGGGGGTCGCTCAGCCAGCCCCTTGCCCACCTCGCCGCCCTCTCTAGCCCTAAGCCACAGAGAAGGCAGCGCTAATGCGGAGCGGCACCCCAAACCACGTGCCAGGCGTCCTGATGGGCGCTGGTGGCCAGTCAAGCCCCTGGGAGGCTGTCTTGCCCCAACCCTGCTACCAGTGAACGGTATGGCTTCAGCGGGTCACCCTCGTCCCCAGGCTCCCATCGCCCTTCCCCCAAACAAGGGGGTGCACCCAATCCGCGGTGCTCATCTGGCTTGCCATTAAGGGGCCTTCAGACAACTTAGTTTTTGCCTTCCATGTCCAAGGATTTGAAGGATTTGTGAACCACACAGATTCCTTTTTTTTCTTTTTTGAGAGGTTCCCTGCACATGTTAGTATATTCAGGGCCTTTGGAGCCCTCCAGGCCAGGACCCCATGCAGGGGACCCAGGACGAGGTCATCCCCAAGTCCTTCTGAGTCCCTGGTGGGAACCCTGGATGCCTTAGCCTTTGCCACAGCCCGACTCCTGCCCCCTCCCACCCATCGCCGACCTTGCAGTGCCGACCCCTGTCCCGAGGGCCACTTGCTAACCACGGAGGGAAGTCGGGTGGCAGACAGGATGGGGGATCGCCCTTCCCACAGCACACCCTGCCTCGCCATGCCAGGTCTCACCTGTTCTCACCTCCCACCCCTCCCCGATGTCCACCTCCCTGACACAGACCTGCAGGTTTCCCACAGGCCGATGGAAAGATGTGCTTCTTCCTAAGAGTCTCCTCTGCCCTGCCTACCTTCTTCCCAGACTGTACGAGAATTCCCTCACCCTTTTCACCATAGTCTCTGCCCAAACCACTGAGCCACCAGCCCAAGTTTTAACTGCCCTGGACCACAGGACATGTCTCATGGGCATGGATGTTGTGAGAGCAGCCTGCCAGCACCTTCCACCCAGGACCCTGCATCTCTCTGGCTCTGTCCAGCTTTCAAGGTTGCCTGAGGACTTGCTTCCGCCTTCCCTGGACCTCCTCAGCCCCTGGGTCCTTGCTTGGGATGAGGTCCCTTCCCAGAAGGCTGGCGAGGGGCCCTGGCCACGCACCTGCCCCACTTACCTTCCCAGAGAAGCAGACTCCACAGGGACCACATGGCCATTCTTCTCCAGAGAGGCCAGCACGCTCTTTCAACAACCGAAATCCAGAACATCCTCGGTCAAGTGGATATCCAGAAGGAGCTGTGGTCCTTCTGGAAAGTCCCATGTCCAGAAGGAGGAATCTTGACTCAGAACGAGATGCCCCGAAAGTGAAAATATCCGAAGGAAAGTGGAAGTTGGCCACTGGCCTAGCTGGGCTTTCTCAGGACTGGATTCTTGTAAGTCAGCCTCTTTCATGTGCCTGTGGTTGGCCAATGCCTTTGCCAGGGGCAGGCGCCCCAACACAAGCCCACATCTTCCTGCTGGACCCGCCAGCCCTCCCTGCATCCCACTGGCCCCCTGGGTGGCTGCCCTTCCTGCTGCAGCCACAGAGAGCCTTCCAGATTGCAACTGCCTTTGCTACTTCTCTAAAATTCTTCCGCACCTCCTGCTGCCCTCAAAATAAAGACAAAACTCTCGGCTTGGTGTGCAAGACTCTCTGAAGTTCAACTCCAGCACACTTGTCCGAGGTGGCCTCCCTGGTTCAGCCTGCTCTCTCCCCATCCCAAGCTAGGAGTGCTCCTCCTGGGAGCACTCACCCCAGCCCCTGTGCACCAGGCTCACCCTTCTGGGCAGGGCATGCTGTAGCCAGTGGGCTTCCACCTGAGCAGCCGGAGTGAGGGACCTCCTCCCCCGAGCCCAGTGCCAGCCCCGTCTCTGTCATTGCCCTCAGCATGCTGTCTTGTAATGGTTTTCTTGTTTCCACGCATCTTTTGCCGGCAAGGTCTTCACCTGTTCATGCCCGTACTCCCCTCAGTGCTTGGCACACTATGGGCATTTAATAATCACTTGGAAAGGAGTGCATAAATTCTGCACATGGTCACAACCCTTCTCCATGAGGGTCTCATTGCTGCCTGCTAGGGGTGGGGCCGTTTGAACCCAGAGCGAGGTTAGTCCCTTGCAGAGGTCATGAGTGCGAGCCGGGACGGGAGCCCCATCCTCAGGAGCGTGGGCCACTTTGCCAGAGCTTCCTCTCCTCCCCCTGGGTCTCTTCTCACTTCCAGTTGTGCGGCTTCTTGATCTGGGGAGGCTTTTCGGGAAGATGAGGGGAATTCCCGAGTCCCAAACATGACTTGTGGCGTCCGGTCCAGCAGAACTCCTGTCCTCTGCTTGGGACCCGACCAGGAGCAAGGCAGCCATGGTGCTGGGACATCAGGAGGTTCTGGGGTAGGCCTCCTGCCCTCTGAGTGCAGAAACAGGGTACGCCCAGGACGAAGGTCCCCTGCATGCGGGCACGGCTCTGTGCAATGGGCAGCACAGGCTTCTCAGTGCAGAGGGTGTGGTGGGGAGGAGGCATCTGTGGTTGTGGGCAGGGGACACTTTCCTAGAAGGTGGGCTTCGAGCCGCACCTTGAAGATAGGCATGATTGGGGTAGACACAGGTAAGGGACGAGCCAGAGGCTGGAAAAGGAGAGCCGAGTGGATGAGGCCAGGCAGGGGGAGCCCCAGGTGGGCTCCTGGGACGATGAAGGAGGGCAGGGAGGAGCCAATCAGGGCTGCTGTGGAGTTTGAGGGTCAGATTGCTTGCATATTGGCTTAGGTATTAGGTTTTTGTTCTGGGGGCAGCGCTCTCAACCTCGCTGGGCTCAAAGCCGTGGGGACTCTGGTTGAGTGGGGCTGGGAGGGGCCCCAGAATCAGGAGTACCCAGCACGCGCCCCAGGAGTTTCTGCCGCTGGTGGGCCGAGGGGAGGCTCTGAGAGAGGGGATGTGGCCCTTGCTGAGCTGAGGGCGGCTGGCTGGTAGAAGGACGGCAGGCGGGGCAGGTTGGCAGAGGGAAGGGGCCTGGATAGCAGCCGTTGGGACAGTCCTGGCTGGACTAGGAAGGAAGTCCCCAAGCAGAGAGGAAGGGACAGGGCTGAGCTGGGCCAGAACTCGGATGCCACCTGGCTTTGGGGCAGAGAGGCCAGGGGAGGGGCCTCATTCATGACCCCGTTGCGAATTCCATCCTTCTTCATCAGGTGTTTATTGAGCATCTACTTCCGTGCCAGGGGCTGGGAGCACAGACATGAAAGGCATGGCCCTGCCCCCGAGGACTCTGCAGTTTGGAGGAGGAGATGGGCTACATCAGCTGATGATTACAGTCGGCGTGGTAAGAGCAGTACATGTAAGGGCTTATTGAGAATGGGGTCTGGGGCATGGTCAGTACTCGGAAGAATCTTAGCCGTGGCTCCTAAGTGGCTGGACAGGGAAGAGAGGAGAGCAGGTAAATGCTGATCAAGGGAGTTCAGGTGTGAGCAGCCGCCTCTGCCGGTCCCAGACTGGAAGCTGGGCGAGGACAGGGTCAGACCCCTACACTTCTCCCCTTCCAAGCCCCCCACCCCTACTCCCCGCCCCTCCGTTGATGGCCACGGACAGGCTTCCCAAGCTACAGTGCCCTCCAAGTCTGGGCCAGTCCTCAGGGGTCATGCCTGGGATGGGGAGGGTGTGAGGTGCAGGAGTGGGGCCGTGGTGGGGATGTGGGGACGCCGAATTCCCACAGTGCAGACGGTGGGTGGTCATACTCCGTCCTCACCAGCGTGGTCCATCCAAGCAGGCACTGAGCTTCGATCTTCCCTGCATTCCCCACCCCTGCCCCCTTGCTCTTTACCTACAGGGGGACTTCAGGGAGGCTGGGGGAGGGTGAGGAGGGGGTTGGGGAGCATCAGTGGACATTCCACCCCCCAAAGGGAAGAACTCCAGGTTGTGTGGCTGCAGGAGAAAGCTGGACAGGGGCAGCTCAGGCCGGGTTGGGTCTGCGGAGACAGGCTCTGCCCCACTGCCGATCACCGCCTCAGAGCACGCTAATTACCCTGCCACGGGGACAGCGCGCTGGAGTCACTGGGCTGGGAGTTCAAAGGCACCACTCCCACATTCCTTAATTAAGAGAGCAGCTGGCAGCTGGGCCCTTCTGGGAGTCGCTGGGGCTCCGGGCTGTGGCTCCCTCTGCACCTCGCCCTCAGCTCCACCCCCACTGCGGGCAGGGGAGGGGAGCAGGTGTCCCCAGTGACCACATGGGCCGCCTGTGCTCCGTTCAGGGCCAGTGGAATCCAGGGGAGGCACCTGCCCTGCCCTTTCGCACTTGTCGTTAATTCTCAACCTGGCCTGGGCACAGAATGGGGTCACCCAGAAGAGGGGAGAGGTAGAAGAGAGCCACAAAGGGGGGCAGGCAGGCAGGGAGGCAGCAAGGAGGGGCATTCAGCAGGCTTTTTGGGAGCTGGGGTGGGGGCAGGGGGCAGAGATGTTACCTGCTGAGGGGTGGTGTGGGGTGGGGGCTGAGAGGCCAGGCAGGGCCCCACCTAAGCCCCGTCTTCGTGTCTTTGCTCACCTCCTCGGTCCCTGTGGGGTGGACGTCTGCCTGCATGATGGGTCAGCTGACCCTGGGCCACCAGGCACTGGCTGGCCCCAAAGGCTGCCCTGGGCAGGGCAGCCCATGCACACACGCCCTCCCCGGCCAGTTGGGCCAGCAGGAGCGTGCTCGCATGTGTGGAAACAGTGCACCTGACCTCCCCCCAGAGGACACATTCACACCTGCGGGCACAGCCCTGAGCTGCCCTTTTAATATTTATGTGGATGGTGCCTGTCTTGCCTCGCCCTGGTCCTGGGCTTGCTGGGGACAAGGGGCAGGGAGAGGAGTCTTTGATCTTTGATGCATGGGAGCAAGGTGCAGGCAACACGAGATGGAAGGTGGGAGAGAAGGAACAGCCCACAGGAACTGGGGGGGAGGGTCCAAGGCTTCGGAGGATTTGCTTTAGAGCCAAAAACATACTTTGCCAGAGAGCTGAGGGCGGGCTGCGCACATGACACAGGCAGGACTGTGCTCCATGGGGGCAGCGAGGGAGGAGCTGGGATCTCATTCACTCATTCAGTCATTCAGCAAACATCTGCGAATCCCCAGCCTGTGCAGGTTGCGGCGGTGAGCAGGTGCATAGAGCACTCAGCGGGGCCTGCGAGTGCAGGACTGGGGCAGATGGGGATGGTGCTTTGGCCAGTCACCACCCACTGGCAATCTGCAATTGGGGGAGGGGCAGAGAGAGAGAAAGGGAGACACAGAATCCAAAGCAGGCTCCAGGCTCCGAGCTGTCAGCACACAGCCCCATGCGGGGCTCGAACTCAGGACCTGCTAGATCATGACTTGTGCTAAAGTCTGATGCTCAGCCGACTGAGCCACCCAGGCGCCCCCTGCAGGGCTGTTTAGCAGATGCTCGTTTTGGTAGAATTGTCCAAGACCTTATTTTCTAGCCAAATAGAAAATAAACCTATAATTGAAAGAAACCCCAATACCTGCAACCTGCCATGCTCCAGTTTAGTTATTTGCATCTAAAGCATTTAGCCACGCACAAAGCTGGGCCCGGTGTCTGAAGGCCCCCACGGTGAAGCTGTCCAGTGGACGGTCAGACCCAAAGGGGCCAGCAGAGGCAGCTGCGAGGCCCCATCCTCCCTCAGTCTCCCCAAAGGGACGGTGGCTGCCTCCACACTCAACCTGGCCAGGCCAAGGCCAGGAGTCCTCCCCCCCACCCCCACCCCCCGGCAGCAGGTGGTTTCTCTTGCTTACTGAGCAGGTGATGTAGCCCCACAGAGCCCCTGTCCCTAAAGCAGGCAGACAAACTCACTGCTGCTGGAGGTATGTTTGCATTTAGCTCTTTGAGAGGAAAATGGCGTTTTCCCGCACAGAGCCTTGCGGGCAGTGGCGCATGGGGCTGGATGTGCGGCCTTCCTTGGTGTCTGCAGGGTCTGTCCCCAGAGACCCGTGACGGAGCCATTCTCCTTGCCACCAGCACTCTCCAGGGCCAGCAGCAGGCTCCTGCCCCCAGCACTGGCAGTGAGCCCTGGGGCCACCTGCTATCAGGCAAGCCAGCCTGAGTCTGGGGTCCCTTCTGAAGGTTCTGCTTTCTCTACGGGTTTTTTTAAACTGTATTTATTTAGTGTGTGTGTGTATGTGTGTGTGTGTGTGTGTGTGTGTGTGTGTGTGTGAGAGAGAGAGAGAGAGAGAGAGAGAGAGAGAGAATACAGGAGGGGCAGAGAGAGAGGGAGAGAGAGAGAATCCCAAGCAGGCTCCACACTGTCAGCGCAGAGCTCAATGCGGGGCTTGAACTTACAAAGAGTGAGATCATGATCTGAATGGAAACCAAAGATTGGACACTTAATGGACTGAGCCCCCAGGTGCCCCTGTGTTCTCTATGTTCTTTTGGGGGATTTTCTTTGTCTACAATTCTCTTTTTTTTAATTTTTAATGTTTATTTATTTTTGAGAGAGAGAGAGAGACAGAGTGTGAGCGGGGGAGAGGCAGAGAGAGACAGGGAGACACAGAATCTGAAGCAGGCTCCAGGCTCCAAGCTGTCAGCACAGAGCCCGACATGGGGTTCGAACCCACGGACCGTGAGATCATGACCTGAGCCGAAGTCAGACGCTTAACTGACTGAGCCACCCAAGTGTCCCAGTCTACAATTTTCTGAGTAATTGTTCATTTTTAAAAATCCTGGCCTGTTCTTTTCTAAACTAAGGGGAATAATTTTTTCAGCTGTGCCAATATAAGTGGGGTGGGGAGGGATTCTGGGGGAGGAGCAAAGTGTCCTGGAGGCCAGGCCATGTGTGTGGGACTGAGTCTGTGTGTGTGTGTGTGTGTGTGTGTGTGTGTGTGTGTGTGTGTAGATTGGGACTTTTCACCCATCTGGGTCAAAGGAACTGTTTTTCTTTATTTTCCAATCCATTGCGGGCCTATACTTTTGTAGGATACACTAAAAGCCACTTACTATAAAAAGAAATAAAAAGTGGGGCACCTGGGTGGCTCAGTCGGTTAAGCATCCGACTTTGGCTCAGGTCATGATCTCACAGTTCGTGGGTTCGAGCCCCGTGTCGGGCTCTGTGCTGACAGCTCAGAGCCTGGAACCTGTTTCCGATTCTGTATCTCCCTCTCTCTCTGACCCTCCCCTGCTCACGCTGTCTGTCTCTCTCAGAAATAAATAAAACATTAAAAACATTATTAAATAAAAAAGAAATAAAAAGAAACATGCAAAATATAAGCCCTATTTTTTCTGACTATATTAAACAAACAGAATTACTCTGTCAGATTGCTACAAAAGTGTCCAGGTTCTTGCTTTTCATTGTTCCAAGCATCCCGTCCTGGTAAACACCGGGCCAGCATCGCTGGTGTAGGGCAGAGAGCAAGAGGCCTGAATTCCCAGGGAGGGGGCGGTCCGTGGGAAGGAGCAGGCCAGCTCCTTCTGGGTCCCCGGCATCAGTGTCTCCTTCATGAGCTGTCCTGTCTTTGACTGGACTCTTTACAAGGGGCATAGCCCGTTTATAGGGGGCATGGCAAGGCTTGGCTTCTACGGGTACTTCCTGATTGACCAGCGAGGACCCTGTGCTTCTAGATGACCTGACATGTGCTTCTTGGCCTGGCAGACAAGAAGCGAGGGAGTGGGGCCCCGGTGTACTCTGGATGCAGATTGGACCAGCGATGAGTGACATGGGGAGGAGGAGGAAGAGGCTGGGGAAGAGGAAGGTCAGGTGGGGGAAGAGAAGGAAGAGAAGCCATAGGGAAGTGAGAAATGCTAACACAGATTGACCTAGTAGTGCTCTGGGCCCTCTTGTTTTATCCAGTGACACTCCAGAAGGCGAGTGGACAGGTATTCCCATAAAGTTTGCTTGGAGGCAGACCAGGCCTTCTAGACTTTCATGTGCATAGGAGTCGCCTAGAGATCTTATTTAAATGCAGACTGAGATTCAGCAGATCTGGGGGTGCCTCTGAGTGGCTACGTTTCCATTAAGCTCAAGACTGGACCCTGACTGTGTCCAGCTCTGGGTGCCCTGGCCGGAGCTCCCTGAGAACGTGGACCTCTTCCCAGGAGAGGCGGGTGTGGTGGGTGAAGTCCAGCTGGGACCTCATTCTGTGATCGGGGAGCAGGGGCCTGGCAGGAACTGGGGCTCGGAGGAAGAGCAGAGATAACGAATCCTCCTAGTTACTAGTACAGAACTCTCAGCATCAAGGGGTGTGGACTCCACAAACCAGACCAAACCAAACCATCGGGCACTACAAGCAACTGGTATTGGTGAATGACATTGATAGGCTTCTATTAACAAACACGTTCTACAAGCATGCATCTTTGTGAACATGAGGGGTAACTGAGTTTTCTGCTGTGCTCCGCACATGGGGATTCAGGGCAAGCCTCAGTTCCATAAACTTTGGAAACGTGGGAGCCTGGACGGGCTGTGAACAGAAACAGGTTGCATGTGGATTCCAATCCTTCCACTCATGAGAAAGAAAACCTCTGGGGCTCCCATGTCCAGTCCCCTCGTCACCCGTCAGTGCCGATGTCCATGCCCCCATGCTGCCTGTTCTGCTCAGAGATCATTTAGGTGCTCCTCGCATCTCTTGGGGACCCTGGCCAGGACGCAGGGCTCCCTTGCTGCCAGGCTCAGGGACTGGGGATCTGCAGAAGGGGCTGGGGTTCCCGCTGGCCTCCTGGGTATCACTGGGGGCCATGGGTGGGTGGTGTTGGGGAGAATCCCATCAGTAGAGGAGGACCTCTTCGAAGTGACCAGGGAGAACTCTGTGGGCCCTGCTTCTCGGATTCGGCTTCCTGGCTGGAAGCTCACCAAGCCGCGAGTGTTTCACCTCCGTGTAGATGACAGAAGTGTCCTATGGGAGACGCGGGTCAGGATCAGGAGGCAGATGGAACATAGAGGGTGGGGGGAGGGCAGGGGGTCCAACTCACCTGAGTTCCCGAGGCTGAGGCAGCAGGCCGGGCTGCAGGGGAGAGAGAAACACTCGGGTTAGGGTATCTGGCTCACCCGTGCACCTGCAGCCCGCCTCCTCCATGTTGTCTTCTCTTACAGAGCACGGACCAGCCCAGGGAGCGCTGTACCCCCTTACACCTCTGGGGACCCCTCATCCTTCATCCAAATACAGGGGGGCCCAAGAATCAGGAGGTCTGGGTCTTCCCAGCTCAACCACAGCCTAACTGCAGGCCAGTCACTCAGCCCTGGGACCTTAGCTTCCCTAGCCAGAGAGAAGGGAGGTGGTGGTCACAGGGATTATAATGAGAAGAAAGAGACATGAGCGTATCAAAGATGCCTTTAAAGCATCTACTGCATTAGACAGTCACCATGCACCAGGCAATCCTTCAAGTGTGAGGATTATATTTATTATATTCATCTCACACTAATCCTGCAAAGTAGAGCCGATTGATTCCTTCTCAAATTAAGGGGAGAAAACGGCGGCTCAGCGTGGCTAATACTCCCTACGGTCATGTCTGTAAGAAGGGGAGCTGTAGACAAATATCAAATCTTTGTGAACGTGAAGCATTCTTGCAACGATAAAAGATCCAGCACCCCCTTCCTGTGACTCTTGGAATACAATGGCCTTTCCTGACTTTGGATTTCAGGACTCCTCACCCTCCCATCAGGGAAAGCCTACCATGAGCTGGGAGTAAGCCACCCCTCCCTGAATCATGCCTTCACCTTGTTTCCCTGCTACAATGAAAACAGCCCCATTTCCTTATGAAAACTATATTCGGACATTGGCTTCTTTTTCTTCTTTCTCATGTTCAAGTTCCCTTTGAACTCTCCTCTGAAATGACCTGTGCCTACCTGTGCCTTCCCATCTACCTGGCCATGCTTGGGTCCTGGGGAAACTGCCCCTGAGCCCAAGAGACTCCTTGTCTGTCCACTTTCCCTAAGTTCCCTTCGTGGGAAGGAGCAGGAGCCCCAGGCTGCTTCACACCCATTTTACAGACCAGGAATAGAAACATCCGCAAAACAAAAACTAAAAGCTTCCTGTTTTTGAATGTCTATGACACGGCAGATAATCTTTAAGGTGTTGAGAACCTAGGTTCCATTCCTAGGAATTTATAATGGTCTTGCCTTGCCCAGTTGCACAGTGAGTACAGAGTCCAGTTTTGAACTCAGATCTGACTGACTCAGAAACCCATATTCTTCCCATGATGCCACGTTGCTTTCCCTGGCCCTGTCATCTAATTCTGGTGTTTGTGGCTGGAGCTCATGGTCTTGGCTCCTCTAAGAGTTGGGACTGTCCTGTTGAGGCTTATACTCTGAGACAAAGGCAAGCTGTGTCGTTCTCTCTCTCTTTTCTTTGTTCCTCCACAGTGCTAAGAAAAAGTCAGAAAAACTCCCTAGTTAGGGTAGCAACAGTGGTGGTATGGTGGAGATGATGTTGAAGATAGTCATTATGGTGGACAACATAGTGTTTTTTCGTGGTGATGGTGGTGGTGGTAATTGTGGTGCTGGTTGTCATGGTGGTGGTGATGGTGGTGATGGTGGTGATGGTGGTGGTGGTGGTGATGATGATGGTGGTGGTGATGGTGGTGATGGTGGTGATGGTGGTGATGATGGTGGTGGTGATGGTGCTGATGGTGGTGGTAGAGGTGGTAGTGGTGGTGGTGACGGTGATGATGATGGTAGTGGTGGTGTCGGTGGTGATGATGGTGATGGTGATGGTAGTGATGGTGGTGAGGGTGGTGGTGGTGGTTGTGGCATGGTAGTGATGGGGTGGTGGTAATTATGGTAGTGGTAGAGGTGATAATGATCACTATAGTCGTGGTACAATGGCAATGTTGATGGTAGTGGTAGTGATACCTCACTCCACACCTAACACTTTCCCTTTACATTAGCAAAAATGTTCAGTTTCATCCAAGAATACTCACCTTTAGTCTCCCGTGGGGCTGTGTATACTGCAGAGTAATCACCATCTTCTTCATTCTCATTCTGCCAATGAACTGAAAGAAGGAAGAGGCTTGATTAGGACCCACCCACTCTCCCACCTCAAGACCCCAGTGTCCTGAAGAACCTATGGAGGGAAGCCAGTCTGGGGCTCTGTCTTGGAGGTAGCTGGGAGTGGGTGGCAGTCATTAATGTGGGATAAGCATCTTGGCAGAAGGTGCCTGCTCCCACAGCAGATTCTAGCAGCTTCACCAGCCCCAACATTGTTTAAACTAGAGGTTGGCAAACTTTTACCATTTAGAAGAGTCAATATTTTAGGCTCTGCAGGCCATACAGTCTCTGTTGCCACCACTCAGCTCTGTAGTGTGAAAGAAGCCATACACAAAACATATACAATGTTCTTTACAAATACAAAGCTTCACGGTGAACGAGATTTGGCCCATGGGCCAGAGTTTGCCAACCGGTGGTCTAACCTCTCTATGCCCTCCCTTCGGAGGTCGGGCTTCCCTCCTACCTCCCTGCCCCTCCACCAGCTTCATGGCACTGGCCCTCCAGCTCTCCCCAGAAGCCATCCATTTCCTTCCCTGATGATTGATTCCTGAGACTTGGGGCTCACAGGGGCCTCCTTCTTGCTCCCCTTCAGAGGCCCTTCTCTGCCTTCAGGGAGAGACCATGCATGGTCCTCCTGGAGGGACTTACCTTTGCCATACAGTGCATCCAGCTCTCCACCGGGGGCCAGGGGAGGATTCTGAGACGGAGGGGGCCCTGGGAGATAGAAAGGCACAATTCATTCAGTTCTCTGAGAGAACATGCTGGAAAGTGGGAGGTAGAGAGTCTGAGAGAAAGAAAGTCAGTGGAGGCTGCCAGAGGTCTGAGTCTGGTTTGTTTATGAGGACTAATTCACAGGTCTGGACATGGTTAATTTTTATGGGATGTTTCCTTTGAAAAATACCCTTGAGTGTAGAATGGCCCTATGGGAATCACAAACTGGGAGGAAGCAGGGTCAGAAAGGATAGGTCATGTCTCTTGCATGGAGAGGGCCCCAGCTGACCATTCAGGCTGCTTTACAGAAGAAGGAAAAGCTCATAACTATGGCCACCCACTGTGTACCAGACACTGGGTCAGGGAATTCAAATACAATGTCTGCATCACAGCACAACACCCTTCCCCGTAACCAGCACCTAGCTGGATGGCAAAAGAGCCTCCCCTCCTAACCCTTTGGGGTCTGATATTCTTTACAACCATCTTGCAAAGGTTGATGCTATGATATCATAGTATCATATGTAGTATTATGGAGGAGGTGACTGAGGCTGGGAGAGGTGACTTCTCCAAGGTCATACAAGGTGAGTGGTAGGGACAGAATCTTAATCCGGGTTTACATGCTTTTTCTCCACTAGCGTCTTCTAGAACTTTAAAGATTAGCTTCTAGGATAGGAACAAGGCCACATGTGGATTTTAGAACACCTGGGTCATGCCAGGAAGTGTTCATTAGCTCTGACAGCAGGAAAGCACCAGAATCACTGGAGCCTCCTATAGAACCAAGAGTGCATTTACAGAGACTCTGAGAAGCTCCTGGTTAATAACCAGGAGCTCACTCATCAGGGGCTGTGTTTCTGAGTCTCCATTCACTCAAGAACTCCAGGAATTCAATGGGCCTCTGTTTTACAGGAGGTGTGACAACAGGTAGTAAAATGAATGCTCTTAAACAAACAAATCAGAGCTTGTGCATCGAGGCAGGTGCTACTTTGAAGTGGGCCCCTTGCACAACTGCCTATGGCACTACTGACACCATCACTGGCCAAAATGTTTTGAAAGTTGCCTTCAGGGATGCAGCCTGTTAGAGATCTTTGGCTGTGGTGTGGTTTTTGTTTGTCAAAGAAGTGGACATACTATCTGGCAATGGTTAGGAATCTTCCAGAGCAGGGTGTGGGGAATGAAGCTGTTGATATACAGCTTTCCTTGGGAAGCTTTGGAATTGAGCCTGGAGGTGGTTTTCCATGTGACATTCTAAAGGTTTTGTGTCGCTGAGATCCTGAATAGGAGGACCACCACCAGGAGCCCTACTTTCTCCAGTGACAGGTTCCTTAACACAGTAGAACCCAGCTGATCCCAGGTCGGCAGTGGGGATTGAGTGGGGGGAGTGTGGACCGTGCAACGGCAGAATCTCCCCATGAAGAGGGATGTTCTTTCATTCCCTGTGAGAGGCTTCTTCCTCTTGAGGACCCCTCGCCAGCAACTCTCCCCCACTGCCTTGTCTGGGGATTGGGGGGGGGGGTGTGGGTAGAGCTATGCTGCGCTGCTGTCTCTAATGTTCTGACCCAGAGGTGATTGGATGGAAACAGAAGCACCTGCCTTACTGAGACCAGGTGAATGGCTGGGCCATTTGAAGGGGGCTTTATTGTAGATACAGGAATGCTAGACATCACACATCTTCAGTCCCTGGTCTGCTATTCTAGCTGCTTCCCCATGTAGCTCTGGGCCTGCCTCCATCTTTCTCCTACCTTAAAGCAAGGTAGCCTGCATGGGACCTTGACTCAGGACTAGAGGGAATCTTCATTGGACAAAGACTGATAAATCAAAATGAAGAGAGGAAGTTGGAGGCTGGCCCCAGCCCTAACTGGGGTGCTGGTAAGGCAAGGGAGTGGGTCCAGGGCTGGGGAGAGGCCCTTCCAGGTATCCTGGCTGGTGCTCAGGGAGGAATACTTTGATTTTGTGACTGGGTGGTCTTTCTCACTGAGTAGTCTGGCCCAGCTCCCGAAAAACTCATCACAAATCCCTTAACAGAAGGAGCTGCCGACTTGAATAAGTAAACCCAGCATTGGAGGTCTAGGAGAGCAATCGCTTTTTTCCCTTGGCAAGTGGAAAATAAGAACGCTGCCCCCGAGAGGAGGAGGTGGGGTGGATTTGAGTCTCAGTAGGTGGGTTTGAAGGCCTAGGGATAAGCTGGCATCAAATAGCTTTGGCACCAGTAGGCCTTCCCTTAAATGTGGCCTGAGGTAAAGAAAGATTAGAATAAGAACGCATGTGGAGCCACCCAAGGTGATGGCTGTGGGAGCCCACATTCCTGCCCCACCGTCATGACCATGACCGGATAGAAGAGAAGGAAAGTCTGTAATACCAAGGTCAACCGGTTACCTGGAAAGGCCATTTATCTGAACGCTTTCCCTTTTTCTTTCTATGGATCCCGCTACATCTGAAATCTAACCAAACGTTTTATTTTTCAGTGGTTCTGATGGGAGGGATTAGAGAATGTGTGGCAGGGGAAGGGGTGGCCTGAGCAATCTGCGTAGATAGAGGGAGACTGTGCTGGGCGCCCACCAAGTGCCAGCGCAACATGTCACGTGTCAGATCCCTGTCATCTCCTCAGCCGAACCCCCCACAACAACCCCGAGAGGGAGACACTTCATGAACTGGCCCAAGGTTGTGGAATTAGTAAATAGCAGTGTTGGCAGCAGGCCATTGCTCCCACCATGTTCCTTCCTGATGACTGAATGTCCACTGGTTCTCACCTCGGGCTCAGCGCTGGACAAGAGGGGAGACACAGATGCACCCTGGGCTTCTCACCCCTTCTCTCTCCTCTGCTCAGCAGACTAGAGCTCTGGTGAGCTTCATGACTGAGGGTTGGAGGCCTGCGGTGTCCCTGCATATTTGCAGCCACAGATTGTCTTCTGAACGTGAAGGAATCTGATGGACCTTGCGTTTGGCTGGTGAGAATTCCTCTGTTTGTGCCTCCATTCATGCCCAAGCGTGCAGTTGTGTGTTTTGCACATCATCTGGGTGACCGTGTGTGTGTTTTGGAAAGGTCCCTCCATGGACTACTTTATGTGACATATCAAGAGAAGTCCCTCCTCTCACCCAACACCTTGGGGAAGGAAGCAGCTGGCCCCATTAGGCACTGGCTTTCCAAAGACTGGGAATGCCTGGCATAGGGATTCAGCCACCAAGAAAGCCGAAAAGGTTACTGACCAGGTTTTCTCCAGGGTCTGAAGTAAGCCAGAAGCACCGTGGTGATGACCAGCACGCCAAACAGGCTCACGGACAGCCCAGGAACCAGCCAGTGGGGACTGACGGGGGCAGATAAGCCCTGAGTAGGGGTGGCCACGAGTGCTGAGGATGAAATTCAAAATTATACCCCAGATGGACAGGGAAGGCAGAATGGCTGGCATCAGGGGGACTGCATGGCCTGGGGAGCTTTGCAGATGGAATCAGAGATGGCCCAGAGGACACCAGCATGGACGGGTGGCACCACCAATGGCCATTACCCGCCCCCACCAAGGATCTCCTGTTTTCCCTCCAGGTCCAGTTGGCAGATACTGAGCAATGTCCAGGCTCAGTCATGCAGTGCCTGCTATGGGCCCAGCCTTGTGCAGGATGTGGGTGGGGGGCACACAGAGGGGTGCAACCTGCCCCATGCCAGCTTGCTGTGGCTCAGGGCCTTGCTGGGGGACAAGACGTACCATCCAGGGAGAATATCTTGGGCTCACTTGTCTCTCCAGAGACGTAGTTCTCTGCCCGGCAGGAGTATCTGGCATCCTGCTCTGACATCACGGTGACGGGGAAGGAGGTGGCTCTTCCATAGGGAGATGAGATGTTCCCTAGGATCCTCCCGTCCAGGTAGAATGAGTACAGGATTGGAGGGGAGCCCTCCTGGGCCTCACAGAGGAGCTCCACCACGGCCCCCACAGCAAGGCCGGTGGGGCCAGGTCTCAGGGTGAGTAGAGGCTGGGACACAGGAGCTGGGGCAGCACACAGTGGGAAGGCTAGGCTGTACCACCCAGGCTCCTGGCCCTTCCTCCCCTGGGGACCCCTCCCCACAGGTCCAGGGGTCCCATCACCCAAAGCCCAGGCTCCTGGGGAGTGTCTCCCCTCCTCCCCACTCACCCTGCACCCTGACCTCCAGCGGGGGGCTCTGCTTCTGGGTCACACCACCCTCAGAGGTGGCCTGGCACCAGTAAAGCCCAGAGTCTCCCTCCTGGGCTCCTGGGAGGGAAAGCTCTGGGTGGGGGCCCCAGTCCTGCAAGGTGCTCTCATCTCTGTAGAAGGAAAAGAAGAGCTTCAAGGCCGACTTCTGGGGGTGCAACTTCGTCTGGCATCTCAGGGTCAGCGGGCTCCCCTCACAGAGCTCGGGGGAGGGGACAGCGCTCAGCACAGGAGGCGGGAACAGCTCTGGGGAGACGCGGGCCCAGGCTCAGGGGGGGCTCCTGAACCGTGAGTCCCCAGAGGCCACGGTCTAAGCCAGGGCACATCCCAGCTCACAGCTCCACGCGCCGTGGGGGACACTGTCATTGTGTCCCAGGACCCGCCTCCCAGCTGCGACCCACACCTGCCAGAGCCTCTCTGGAACCCTGAGCCAGAGCCAGAGGGCCTTAGGGTCAGCTGGTCCCCAGAGGGGAAGGGTCTGGCCCAGGGCATCCCCCTCTTTCCCTGGGCTCTGGAGGCACTTGGACAGCAGGATGGACGTCCCAAGTCCCTGTGGTCGCCCAGCATCAGGTCTGCCAGAAGGACGGCTGCCTGCTGAACTCTAGAGACCAGATCCCTGAGCAGCACCCCACCCCCACCCCCAACCCCCCTGAGCTGGTGACTCACCTTGGACTTGAACCATGACCATCTCTGAAGTTTGTGTGCCCAGGTGTGGGATGTAGCCCACCTTCCCAGAGCAGCTATAGTGGCCGCTGCTCTCCAGTGTAGCTGTCCCCATGAACAGGGACCATCTGGTCCTGGGCTTTTGGAGTAATTTTCCGTTTTTGTAGAACTTCACCCAGGACAGGGCCGTGTTCTTCCATCCGTGACATCGCAGAGTCAGGGGGTCTCCCTCAAACACGGGGTCTGGCGAGGCTCGGAGGTACAGCCAGACTGTGAGACACGAGAACAGGGTCGCCCTGGAGCACTCACCGCATCGGCTAGTGTTCTCCCTCTGCCCCATCCCTCCCCCAGTCCTCCTCCTGGGGACAGACTCTGCTGGACAGCACCTGCTCAGCTGTCCCGCCCCCCAGACCTTCATGTGAGAGAGGCCAGGGCCGGGGTCTGCTTTCCGCTCTGCTCCCCCTCCTCCCCTCCTTCCTCTCCCTGCGTCTTCTCTTTGGCCATCTTCCCTTGCACTGCACCTCCGTTCCTTTCACATCGTCTTTTCAACGTTGCCAAGCTTGGGTCGAGTTGAATTCCTCCCATCCATTGTCCCACCTCCTTCCTGCTGACCCAGTCCTCACCTCCCTAGACCCGTTACTTGCCCCCAGGCTTTTCCAGCACAAGCCTTTCTGCAGTGTCTACCTCTCAGAGCAGCTGCCCCTGCCCGCCAGCAAGCAGTCAGACAGGTGGATGAGGGCTCGAGCCACCTGCCTTCCTTCTCCAGCTTCCCCGGCCTCCATCTCCTCCCCCAGCAGGGAGCTTCACTCCCACCACAGTTGTGGGGAGTGTTCTGTCCTGTCTGTCCTCATTCCTAAAGACATTCTGTGGCCTGATGTGGACAAGAGAGGAGCTCCTGGGGACACAGCCTGGGCCTGTCCCCAGGCCGTACTTCTTTGACAAGCCAGACACCATTGGTCCCAGACAGTCTCAGGAGCCAGGCCTGATAAGCTGAGAGCAATAATGAGGGATCAGATGGGGACTCCCAGTATATCCTGCCTTTGTCTGGGTCTCCCTGGGTCCTCAGGACCCACCCCTGAAGCCTCAAGGAGTGACTCATTGATGAGCCTTGCTTTTCCTCCTGCTCTGTCAAGAAGCACTGAGCATGGGTTTGAATTCTTCCCAGGAGCCCCCACTGCCTCCAGCACCATAGAACATGTCCTTGGAGGTCAAGATGTTCATAGGTCAGAGTTCTTCCTACTGGATAGAGAGCTCCGTGAAGGTCAGGATGGACCAGGAGGCAGAGGGAACTGAGGGTCAAAGCCGCTGTCTCTGAACATACGAGGGATGGAAGGGAGTCCGGGCCTTGCTGAGTGAAGAATACAGGAGCTCCAGACCCACTCTGAGGGGAGAAGAGGGGCCAGTGCCACGTATAAGGGAACAGGATGAGGCCCAGAGCCATTTGCTGGGACTTGAGTCACCTAGAACTATTCTCAGCCCGAGAACAGTGGAGTCCCACGTCTCATTTCTGTCTGGGCGTGAGCCAAGACTCCCAAGGGATGGGCCTAGTCTGCCACTCTGAAGATGCTTCCGGGGTACCCGGTGGCCCATCAGTTAAGTTTTGGCCCAGAGACACACTTGGAGGCAGAAGAGAACAAAACAACTCACCAGTTTGCCCAACACAGGGAACTGTAAGAGAACAGAATGATAGAATTAGGAAAAATAATACAACTTTTTCACAAGGAGGTCTGTCACCTCAGAAATGGGTGCTCATATCCATTCAATAAACCAACCCCCCAGCCCCCTAAGCACTTACTCATCCAATACCCAGACACCCAGCTACTCAGCCACTCAGCCATCCAGCCACTTAACCACCGAGCCACTCAGTCACTCAACCACTCACCCACCCAGCCACTCAGCCACTCAACCCTCCAGTCTCTCAACCATCCAGCTCCTCAACCATCCAGCCACTCAATGTCTCAATCACTCAGCCACTCAGCCACCTCACCACTCAACCACCAAGCCACTCAGCCAGTTAGCCACTCAGCCACTCAACCACCCAGCCATCCAGCCACTAAACCATGCAGCCACCCAGCCACTCAGCCATCTAGCCACTCAGTCACCCAGCGATTCAATCACTCAGTCAACTAGCCATTCAACTACCCAGCCACTCAGTCACCCAGTCCCTCAATCACTTAGCCACGCAGCCACCAAACCACTCAGCTTTTTTGTTAGAACCAGTGCCTGGAATCCTCTGCCCCCATCTCAGTTCAAATGTCACTTCCTTAGGTCTTTCTGGGGCCCCCAGTTGAAGGAATTCTCCTCAACCACTATTACAACACCCCATTGTATTATCATCAGAGCACTTATCTCTATTTGAAATGATCTTATTCTTTAAATTGCCTACTTATTATCAGCTGTCTCACTCTGTCTAGAATGTAAGTTCCATGAAGGTAGAGACTTGTTCACTGTTCTGTCACCTATGCCTAGGACCCATGCCTGGAAGAGTCTGTGTTCAACAAGTGTCTACTGGATAAATTCTTTCCTTTGTGCCCCACCAAGTGGGGCAGGGCATGTGACGTGGGAGACACAAGAGTGGACTCTTGCACTAGTGGGTCCAAGCACCTCTCTGCCTTGCAGAAGAACTCAGAGAGCAGACTTGGCATTCCTGAAACCAATCTGTCTATGCAGCTCTGGAGAGTAGAGCCTGGAAGTGACAGTTGAGGGGAGTGAGGAACTCCAGATGAGCAGGTCAGATGGGATGCATGAAGAGGTGACAGACACACAGGCCAGTGCATCATGCACTGTGCTTGGACCTTTGTATGCGGCACTGTTTTTAAATGAATGAATTAAAAAAAATTTTTTTTAACGTTGTATTTATTTCTGAGAGAGAGAGAGAGAAACAGCATGAACAGGGAAGGGTCAGAGAGGAAGGGAGATACAGAATACAAAACAGGCTCTAGGCTCTGAGCTAGCTGTCAGCACAGAGCCCGATGGGGGGCTTGAACCCAGGAACCGTGAGATCATGACCTGAGCTGAAGTCAGATGCTTAACCAATTGAGCCACCCAGGTACCCCTAAATGAATGAATATTTGAGGAGCATATGTGGCCCAGGAAGAGAGGCCAAGCCACAAAATGATGACAGATGAGGATAGACAGGCATGAATGGCCCAAGGAATGGGGGCGGAGCACAACTGGACATGGAATGGTGGAGAGTATTCTAGACAAGCGGTAAAGCAGCCAGTGGTATTGGGCTGAGCACAGTCGGGCCACAGTCCTCCGGCACTTACTGTGTCCTTCACAGTGACATGTCCCAGGTGCTGTGCAGACATGGAGAGATGTGGGAATGGCTTTGGGAGGGGTAGGTGAAGACCCTCTCACCAGGGGCTTGAGATGCGACTATTTGGTGTGTTGAGCCACATGCTGTCACCTTTGCTGTCCACATGGCCAGGGACCCACATGGAGGCTTTTAGCTTCAATTTTCTGCTCAGCTAGGGGTTAGCTCAGCCACAGGCTTTCAGTGTGTGTAGAATTGAGTCTTTCTTGCCATCCCTCCATCTCCCCCTGTGTCCATCTAAACATATCTCTTGGAAACTTTTTTAAAGTTTATTTATTTATTTGAGAGAGACAGGCATAGGACGAGCCAGGAAGGGGCAGAGAGAAGAGGAGAGAGAATCCCAAGCAGGCTCCAGGCTGCCAGTGCAGAGTCGGATGTAGAGCTCAAACTCATGAAACCATGAGATCATGACCTGAGCAGAAACCAAGAGTCTTGACGCTTAACTGACTGAGCCCCCCAGGCACCCCTAAACATCTCTTCTCTGAGCTTGCTGCAGTGGGAAGCATGCAGGATTTGGAGTCACATGACATTAACTGGACTCATGACTCCACCTCTTTCTGTGTGAGCTTGGACAAATTGTTTAAATTCCAATAGCCTTCAATTCCTGGTTCTGTCTATACAGTGGGAGCCATAACAGTCATTTCTTCCTTACAGAGTGGTTGTGTAGATTACAGTGACCCACCACCTGGGAGAGTGGTTACTGCATTGACTGAAAGCAGAAAGGAGGCCTGATCTCAGAGTGACTAATACCTCACAGTACAGTGATGTCCCTCTTCCTTTTCCCTCCTCACCCGCAAAACACTTCTGCAGTTTCAAAGTGATAAGTAAATAGGAGTGAGGGCACCGAAGGTCTACAGCAAGAGAGGAGGCATCTAGAGAGCAGAGGGACACTTCGGATGAGCTTGCGTCCCCAGACCCCGTGAGACCTGGGAGCTGTGCCTGCAGAGACAGTGTCTGTAACGAAGGCAGTGGGCAGCAGGGTGTACAGAGGGGCTTCTTACAAAAGAGACCATGGGCTCCAGTTTGCTACAGGCTGAAGATGAGGTGATAACACAGCCAAGAGCCACCAATGAATAAGCTGCATAACAGAGTCCTGGACAATGGAGGCCACAGCCCTGTTGACCTTGGCACAAGTCAGGTCATGGTGGGAGGCAGGGGAAGGCACAGCGCCTGGTCCACTGACAAAGGGCATCGAGCCCAAGCAGACCAGGATGATGAGCAGAGCTGAGACTCCATTCCCCACTCGAGGACGACACAGCTGAGGAGGGACATAGTAGCCTTCAAATATTTGATGGGCTAAGCTTAAAAGGGGAGAGACTTCAGGCAGAAGTAAGACTAATTCATAGGAAATGAGAGAGACCAAGGAAGCAGATTTCTGCAAAGTGCGAAGGACTCTCTCACAGTCAAGCTCTAGCACACTGGGACACACTGCTTCACCAAGCTGTGTCTTCCACAGTGCTAGGCAGTAGCCATGACATGGGAGCCCAGAGACACCTGCCATGGATGGTGTGTGTGTCTACAGGTGGTGGGTTCCAGTTCTGGGACTGAACTTGGATAACACTTAGCTCAGAAGGAAATTAAGGTTCATCTCTCAAACTTCAAATATATCTTTAGTGTATGACCATGTCCCAGCACGTTCAGGACCAGGGCTCCTCGCCTCTTGAATCCCTGATGGCCAATAAGAGTAACAGGCACCATGTATTGTGTGAACATACCCCACCAGGCACTTTAAATAAATTTTATTTTCCAGTCTTATGTGATTAGAACCCAACCAGAGACCTGCTAGAGACATCCAGGTGGAATGGAGAAAGCATATGTCTGGAAGCAAGCGGACTTGGATTTATATCTCTGTTTTGCTCTTGTTGGCAGAGTAATTCTACACAAGTTTCTTAACCTTTTTGAACCTTAGTTTCCTCAATCGCTTAATAGGGACAAAAAAATACCCAGCCAATAAGATTTGAAAGGTTAGATGAGATAATGTGTGCACTACTGAGCAGGGTGTTTTCTGTCTCTCTGCCCACATCTAAGAGGAAACAACAGCTGTGCATTTATGGTAACTCTGTTCCTCCACACCTAGCCATGGGGTCTGCACCTTAGGCTGGTTTTCTGGGGTCCCCAAGCATCAAGCATGATCCTATTGAATTTAGGTCCTCCACCACGCTGTCCCCTAGTCAGCCAGTTTTTGATTCTCTTCTCTCTTTCTTTGCTCCTCCCCATCCCCCATCCAGATACTGGGCTCCAAGTTGGGAAGCACTTGGACTTTATCCAGTCAAGTCCAAAGGCTGTTCCTTTTACAAGGTAGTGATTTCCCCGTGATAGCCTTTCTTCTGGAATATTTCCAGGCACTAGGCCATCCTGATCCTGCCGTATGACCATGAGATCTTTTCCCTTGTCTGAATGGCCATTCATAAGTACACAAGGTAACAGGGATGTGGGGGAAGGATGAGCATTGAGCAGAACAAGGGTTTTCCTCACAAGGTCAAATGCCCACAAATTCTGTCCAGGAAGAGATCATGCTTAAGAATGGTTTGCTTTTCTGGTTCAACAAAAACAAACAAACAAACAAATGAACAAACACAAACAAACTATTAGGACCAAGTTTAAAATAAAAAGTAAGTCAACTCAGAAATTGTAAAATGAAATATATGCCCCGACTATTCCTTCTAAGTGTGGCAGGGTGATAGTCGCTGGACTGAGTTGAGTCTGGGAGACCCAGTGACCCTCTCCCCACTCTCATAATTCTCTACCCTTGGAGGACCAGTCCTTTCAGTCGCTGGTGAGGGTGACAGGTGGCCCCCGAGGAGGTGGGTCAAAGAGAGAGATATAGATCAGGAAGAATGGATTTGATTCTTTGAACCATCCCCAAGGACCAGTCAGACCTGAAACAGACCTCCCCATCCCAAAGAGAGAGGATGTAGGCAGAAGGGGGATGGCTAGTTTGTAAAGGGCTTGAGCAGCAAAGCCTCTTGACCTGGTGAGAAGCCTGGACATTGTAGAGTGATTCTAACAAAAGTGGAGGTTTCATAAAAATATATGTTTTTTTCTTCCAAAGTGTGTTTATGTATTTTGAGAGACAGAGACAGAGAGACAGAGAGAAAGCACAAGTGGGGAAGGGGCAGAGAGAAGGAGAGAGAGAAGTCCAAGCAGGCTCCACACATGGGTGCAGGGCCTGACACGGAGCTCAAACTAAAAAACCATGAGATCATGTCTGAGCCAAAATCTAGAGTCAGACACTTAGCCCACTGAGCTACCCAGGTATCCCCAAAATATATCTTTTTGTAAAAGCCCACCTTATATTGTTGAGCAAAATGCACAGAACTGTGTTCTCCCATTTCCCTGATCCCTCCAGCCCACCCCTGCCCAAAGCCTTCTTTTTTCTATAACTTTATTTTCCTTTTGAGTCAGGCTGATGAGTAACTTAATCTTATTTCATGGGGTAAACATGGGGTTGGGCCTCAGAATGTGATTTTCTGCCTCCCTAATTTAGCTCTGATCACTGAAGGCCTGCCCTGCTGAGTACCCAGGAAAATGGGATGGGAAACATCAGGGAGGCCCCCCACCACACCCCATATCTGTCAAGCACACCCATGTACACACACTCATCTCAAGCTCCAGCCATTAACCCACTTGAGCCTGGAAAGGTGAAATTAGCAATCCCATAAATGTCTTACAGTCTTTGGTGCCCAGGAAGTGAAGCTTATGCTCGGTGACTTACCGAAAAACAGCAGAACCCTGCAAAGCAGCATGGGGCCTGGCGTGGCGCAGAGAAGGGACACAGGTCCAACCGAAGGCAGACACGAAGTCGGGGTTGAGGGGAGAGTATCTGAGCCACAGGCCCAGGGGTAGGTGAATGACCCCTCTGACGTAGGTGGTGTTACTGCTTCATAGTCTATATAGAGGAAGTGGGGAAGACACTTCAAAAGTTCAAATTTCCTCTTTGTTTGAGGGGGTATTATTTAAGTGACTTTCTTCACCATGAAGCATGAAGGAGTCAGGGAATTTACTAGTAAGCGCTTTTGAACATTCTCCATGGCTTCGAAAAGCTCATGCTAGTGAACCAGGATGGGAGATGGCTATGGAAAGATCCAGAGACTACCGAATTTGTATGATTTCAACATCACTTAGCTTCGAAGGCAGCACAGTTCCGGATACCCTAAGATCTGTTCCCTACCTTGAGTGACTTCCAGTTCTCCAAGCTTCCTTCCTATCCAAGGAGAAATGTGTTTGGACACTGCAATAAGGTGGAAAAGAGGAATCCTGAAAATGGTCCACAAGATCATCAGAGGATGGTCAGAGGATCTCAGGAATTGATGAGGTCAGAGTAGATCCAGTTGGAGTTTCTGAATCTGAGGTTTTAAGACTGTCAGGCTATTATTTTGAGTACTATTCCTTGAAAAGACACCATTAAGAGAATAAATAGGCATGCCACAGGGTGACAGATATTTTCAATACATATGACTGAAAAAGGACCAGAATATAAGACTTTCTACAAGTCAGTAAGAAAAAGACAGACAACCTACAGGAAAAATGGGCAGATAATTGGATAGGTGTTTTACAAAAGCAGATATCTGAGTGACAAATAAACAGAAAATGAAGCTTGACTTCATAAATCACTATAGAAATGCAAAATTAAGCTAAATGAAACACCACTACATCCCCCATAAGAATGGCTAACATTGTTGATAGACAGCCAAGTGTTGGTGAGGATGTAAAGCAGCAAGGACTCTTGTATGCCTCCAGTGGGAGTGTAAATTAGTACAACCACTTTGGAAAACTGCATGGCAAATTCACCAAACGGGTTATATGAATATCTGATGACCCAGAATTTTTGCTCCTAGGTACATACTGAACAGAAATGCATATGTATTGACACCAAAAGACGTACCCAGGAATGTTCACAGCAACATAACTTTTAATAGATACAATCTGGAGGGGCGCCTGGGTGGCTCAGTCAGTTAAGCATCCAACTTTGGCTTAGGTCATGATCTCATGATTTGTGAGTTCAAGCCCTGCATTGTGCTCTGTGTGCATAGCTCAGAGCCTGGAGCCTGCTTCAAGAGAGCGTCTCCCTCTCTCTCTGCCCTCCCCTGCTCACGTGTTCTCTCTCTCCATCAAAAATAAATAAACATTAAAAAAATAGATAAAATCTGGAAGCTACTTAATAAGTCCTCAACAGAGAAGGAGGCCATACATCACCATCTCCTTTGAAAACAAAACATGTCAGTTTAAACTGAAGCATGGAGGGTTGGGTTAAAATCAGGAAGCACTCTCTGAGAGTAAGGTTTTTCTTGGAAGTCTTTAGGTGAGAAGTTCCATAGAGTCTGGAAAGAATTCAATGTGCTTATTGACAAAGACAGGCATAGAGGGTGTGAACTTTCTAACTTTTTGTGTTCTAGATTCCCTGATTCACTGAAAATGGGAAAACAGTCTGACACTGACAGGCAATTCTTATGTGACTCTGTTGATCGGAAGAGAGGTGCACTTGGTGAAGGAGTAATGTAGGAAATGGAAATCTTGTCCAGTCACCTTAAGATGTTAACATTTATACATTTCCCCTATTGTTCTCTTTCCACCAGATCTCTCTTGAGTTGTCTCCACCTTTGCTCAGCTGCAGGTCCAGAGTGTGGGGCAACAGCTCTGCAGGGTTGCAGCTAAGGTAGATGGGGCAACCGCAAACGGTCTAGCTTGCAAGTGCTTACTGTGCTTTGCATGCAGAACAGTTGAGGCCTCTACCCTAGCAGTTTCTACTTTCACCAGGTTCTAGCAGTTTGGGTGTGTGAACACTCCCTGACTTCTCACTCTACCCCTGAAAAGTGAGATGTTGCTGCAATTTTACCTTATTTTTATTTTTTAATGATTATTTATTTTTGAGAGAGAGAGAGAGAACAAGTGGGGAGAGGCAGAGAGAGAGGGAGACACGGAATTTGAAGCAGGCTCCAGGCTTCAAAACGTCAGCACAGAGCCCAGTGTGGGGCTTGAACTCATGAGCTGCAAGATCATGATCTGAGCCGAAGTTGGACACTTAACTAACCGAACCACCCACGCGCCCCAGATATTGCTGCAATTTGAAAGGTATTAGTGGAATTTGCTCTCCGAGCTGAGCTGGTTGCACACCATCCCTTTGGGGATGAAGGTGACCCCATGGGATGCTGGTAGGTTAAGAATTTTCCAGGACCCAGGCTGACCTTGAACTGAGATGGAGATAGTTTGGGAGAGAGGTCAAAACCCATAATACTAAAACTAAGGGAAATTCAGGGCTAAAAGGAGGTGGGGAGGATAATGGGGGAGGGGGATTTCTCATCCAGATGCAGTTTGTAGACTTAACAGACACCTATCAAGTATCCCATCCCCAAATGGCAGAATACACATTCTTTTCAGGTGCACACGAAACATTCTTCAAGATAGGTCACATGTCAGGCCACAAAACATGTCTTAATAAATTTGAGAAGATTAAAATCATATCAAGAATCTTTTATGACCATAATGGTATGATACTGAAATCAATTACAAGACAAAATTGGAAAAAAGCACAAACATGTAGGCTAAACAACATGCTACTAAACTGTCGATGGGTCAATGAAGAAATCAAAGAGGAAATAAAAAATATCTTGAGATAAATGAAAATGAAAATACAACCTTCAAAAATCACTGGGATGCAGCAAAAACAGTCCTAAGAGGGAAGTTCATAGCCAAAATAGACTTACCTCAAGAGACAAGACAAATCTCAAATAAACAATCTAACCTTCTACCTAAAGGGACTAGAAAAAGAATAAACAAAGCTCAAAGTTAGTAGAAGGGTTGGGAATAATAAAGATCAGAGTGGACATAAATGAAATAGAGACAGAAAAATAGAAAAGACCAATGAAACTAAGAGCTGGTTCTTTGAAAAGAAAACAAAGTAGATAAAACTTTAGCCAGACTCATTAAGAAAAAAGAGAGGGGCCAAATAAATAAAGTCAGAGGTTAAAGAGACGTTACAACTGATACCACAGAAATACAAAGGATCGTAAGAAACTGCTGTAAACAATTATATGCCAACAAATGGGACAACTAGAAAAATGGATTAATTCCTAGAAACATATAATCTGCCAAAACTGAATCATGAAGAATAGAAAATCTGAACAGACTGATTACTAGTAAGGATATTGAATCAGTAATAATAGTAATAAAAAAAAACTTCCAACAAACAAAGGTCCAGGACAAAACAGCTTCATGGGTGAATTCCACTGAATGTTTAAACGAGTATTAATGCCTATTCTTCTCAAGGTATTCCTAAATAACTGAAGAGGAAGGAACACTTCCAAACTCATTTTATGAGGCCAGGATTACCCTGATACTAAAACCAGACAGACACTACACACACACACAGACACACACACACACACACACACACACATGTGCATACACGCACACATTACAAGCCAATATACCTGATGAAAATTAATACGAAAATCCTCAACAAAGTATAGCAAACCAAATTCAACAATACATTAAAAGGATCAAGTGGGACTTATTCCATGGATGCAAAGACGGTTCAATATATACAAATCAATCAACATGATATACCACATAAACAAAATGAAAGTCAAAAATCACCATCATCTTGAGCTTGTTCAATATTCACAAATCAATCAACTGTGATACACCACATTAATAAAAGAAAGGATAAGAAACTTATGATCCTCTCAATTGATGCAGAAAAAGCATTTGACAAAATATAGCATCCTTTCTTGATAAAGATCCTCAAGAAGGTAGGGATAGAAGGAACATAGCTCAACATCCTAAAGGCCATATACAAAAGACCAACAGCTAATATCATCCTCAATGGGGAAAAACTGAAGGATTTCCCTATAAAGTCAGGAACATAACAGGGATGTCCATGCTCACCACTGTTGTTAATATAGTACTGGAAGTCCTATCTTCAACAATTAGACAAGAAAAAGAAATAAAAGGCAAACAAATTGGCAAGAAAGTAAAACTGTCACTCTTTGCAGATGATGTGATACTCTACATGGAAAACCTGAAAGACTCCACCAAAAGCTGCTAGAACTGATACATGGATTAAGTAAAGTCACAGGATCTAAAATCAGTGTACGGAAATTGGTTGTATTCCTATACACCAATAATGAAGGAGCAGAAAGAAAAGTCAAGGAACTGATTTCACTTACAATTGCACCAAGACCCATAAGATGCCTATGAGTATCAAGATACCCATAAGAATAAGTCTAACCAAAGAAATAAAAGATCTGTATGCTGAAAACTATAGAAAGCTTATGAAAGAAACTGAAGAAGACACAAAGAAATGGAAAAATATCCCATGCTCATGGATTGGAAGAACAAATATTGTTAAAATGTCTATACCACCCAAAGCAGTCTACACATTCACTGCAATCCCTATCAAAATAACACCAGCATTCTGCACAGAGCTAGAACAAACAATTCTGAAATTTTTATGGAACCAGAAAAGACCCCGAATAGCTAAAGTAAAGTTGAAAAAGAAAATCAAAGCTGAAGACATTACAATTCCAGACTTCAGTCTGCATTACAAAGCTGTGATCATCAAGACAATATGGTACTGGCACAAAAACACATATATAGATCAATAAGACAGAATAGAGAACCCAGAAATGGACCCAAAAATGTATGGCCAACTAATCTTTGACAAAGCTGGAAAAAATTTCCAATGGAAAAAAGACAGTCTCCTCAGCAAATGGTGTTGAGAAAACCAGACAGAGAAATGCAGAGGAATGGAACAGGAGTACTTTCTCAC